CTGAGATTTTTTTATTGTAGGATTCATTGTAGTTCTACATTAGACTGGAGTAGATCTAGATCTATTTATAGAATACAAGGGTTGCTAGCACTCTGTGCCTAGAAGTTGATCATAGTTTATTGTTTTAGGAATAGCATTTAACAAAACAGAAATAAAATTAACCCTTCATAGCACATTGCTGACAATCAAGCATAAGCTTCGCTTTACATTTTTATAGCGATAAAAATTTCTGGATTAGCGCTTTTCAGTTGGCAGCTTTTCGTCGAAACTTTTAGGTATGCTGTAATCTAGAAGCCTTGAAGATTTAGAATACTGCCTAATACTCTTTTTCCAATTCTTTCCAATTGCAGATTTTAAAAAAAATATGGGTCAAGAGTTCTATTTTAAATCAATTCACATCATTCTTTAGGCACACATTGACTTATAAATAGAATTCTGGGAAAAACATCACTATATCCTTTAGGAATAATTTAATCCTTGAAATATAACATTTATGAAGCACTGCACTACAACATATGGGTCATACACATTCCCAACTATATCCTGGTAATATATACAAGTATTTATATGATTTCCACTATATCAAATCAAGGCCGTGCACTCAAGAGAAATAAAATCATAAAAAAAAACATGTCATATCCTACAATGATCTGAAGCAAATGTTGTACAGGACTTGGCGTCTCTACTTCAAATCAAGGGCAGATTAACCTCCCCTTCATTTCTACAAGAGACTGCCTCCATTAAAATTGCGTAAAGACTGAATCATAAAATCTAAATCTATGTCAGAAAAAGTCTATCATCGATCGTCTAAATTTCAAGTCCTAACTGAGTGACGCAGAGACAAGGGAGGAGCTTGCGAAAGGGGCGGGAAGCCTACAATTCGTCTTTTACTTGGAGAAATTAAGTCCCTTTGATTTAAAAAAAAGTCTAACAATGAGAAGCCTAGTCGGTTGTATAGCTCCATTTGGTAGAGTATATTATTTAGTGTTGCCAATGCATTGAATCATTGGTTTCACATTTAGGTACTATCGGCAAGATTTGATAGGTCAAGGCCGCATTTCCATAAATTTTACAGGCTGTGTTGACCTACATTGCAACGAAGTCGTAATACATTTAGAATGTGAAACAGATAAATGAATAACACGGCCGTCTAGGTTGCAATGGGCGTCTAATGATAGCTCATAGGCTTAAGGTGTTATTGAGTTAATATAGAAATTCTAGAATCTGCACTATTTATAGTTGACTTTCAGCCACTGTGCCATTCATTGTGATATCTTCCTTCCATCAAACCTATAGTTCAATGAATTAAATCCTCCATCATTGTCTTTAGATTTAACATAATTATTTAGACACTCCGGATACTTAGAAAGTAGAGGGCCACTATTGTTGCTATGCACACGGTTACTTGAATATCGTCTGATCCTCATCGAAGAATTACTTGGTCATCGTCTGATCCTCATCTAAGAATTACCTTGTCATCGTCTGCTCCTCATTGAAGAATTACTTTGCATTCTGAATTGTGTTTCAAAAAAAGAGTTATTAAAGAAAATGATAGACGTACATAGCTGTTGGTGCTAATTAAGGGGAAAAGTTAAGCCGGTTCAAGTTGATTCAAACTAAGTAAAAAAATTATCCAAACTAAAAACTAGAGAACTAGCCACTTCGCTGTGTCAACCATTAGAATGTTCTGTGTAACTCTGAGTTAAATTGTATGCATGTTATAGACCCAATTGTAAGTTTGAGAAGAACATTCCCTGTAACTCTATTATTATTGTATTCTATGAAGTCTAGAAGTCTTCCTGTTCTGACATTAAAATGATGAAATATATATTTAGATTCAAACAACTACAAACTTCAGGTTAATATTTTAGTTTGCTCATGAAATAGATGTGCATGCTACATTTTCTCTGACAAAAACTTTACTGTTTTTCACGTACACATTTTTTTTTCGATTTACCTGTGAAAATTAGATGTTGATATCGTTCGTATTTATATGTAGAGCAAAATAAAGTAGATTATAGCCTGAAGAAGTTGAAGTCAGTATTTCTGATGGATTATTATTATTATACATTTTAGCCAACATCAGTGTCTCTACATTCATTTGTCAACAAGCATAAACTTCTAAAAATACTGAAAGTCTAAGATAGTTTGTTGGTGACTGAAATGCGAATAACAAATTGTTCAAACACAATATCCAATCCAAGCGTGTTCATGTATACTTGTCAATGCTGTACTCATTTTACTTTTGGACAAGTTAAAAAATTATCTCATGTTAATTTAAATAATCGACAAGTATCTATGTCAGATGAAATATAGGCCATATATTAGATAATTATAATATGCACATTTATGCATTAACCATTTTAAAACAAGATGAAAAAAAGAAAGGAAGTCCTTGTTATTGAGTATCAAAAGTACACAAATTTATTCTTAAATCAAGAATTGCTTATGAGTTGATGCATTATATTCATCAACCACTGACTCGCACTGACCTATGTGCTGGTGCATAACTCTCAACTTCTTTTCTTGTTCTAATATTTAAGTATTTGTTATACTATCATTAATTTTTAGCGGCCCCGGAAAGGGGAAAAGACGCTATTAGTTTTGTGTGGAATGTCTGTCCGTCCGTCCGTCCCATTTAGATCTCGTAAAGTAGAAAAGGTAGTGAAAATCCGACATCATAATATTTTATACCATTCAAAGTTCTGATGCAACGGCTACTATTTTCTTTTCTGAAAGCGAAAAATCTAATTTTTAAATCACTTAAGCAACTGTTGTTTTTTTTTTAAATTACACCACTTTTACAACTATTAGCTTTTAATAGTAACAAACACGGAGGCTCTATAGTAGATGAGACCTTTGCTTACCATATTTTTAACACATTTAGGCTAATGGTTTTAGATTTTTTATCAAAAATATTTATTTTTTTTACATTTGTATTGCTAAGTTTAATAAGTTCTGTCATATTAACTACTAAATTTACATAAAGAGTATACATATATTTAGTAAGCATATAAGTTGGGCATAATTGAAAAACAACAATTAATAAGTAGTTTTTCATATCATCGCGTGAACTGCGGCTCAATCATTATTCAATAGAACACTAAACTAAAGGAAAGCATTTTTTTTTGTACGGAAATGTTTTTTTTTCTTGAGGATTTGAATAAGAGATTGATCCTTTACAAAACAATTGGATCTGAAATAGAATTTTATTCTGACGCTCTTTCTGAAAATGTGAAACATGCCTTTTTACCTGCCTGGGTGGACCACTTCGGGGCCGATTTTGAGTTTGCGTTTCCACACAAACTGTCTTTGTAACTTTGTTTTTTTACATACAGGTTCCTTTCATTTACTAACCAGTAGTAATTAATTTTAGTGTTATTATTTCTAAATCCTTTTTTTTTAAAGAAATAACATGCATTAATGTGGATTTTTAAAAATATATTGTAATAATTAAGAATTGTGTTAAGTTATTTTTCTTGTAATAGTGCTAAAATGTTTGCTTTTAGGAGGCTGATACTATAAACGTATGATGTTTCCCATATATGGAAGAAAACAAAAACCTAATTATAACATTTTTGTGGAGACGAGACTTAGCATTAGAAATATTCTAAGTGGAATTATGTCGCTCATTGTAACCATAAATCCCACAGCACGCTTATGAAATTCATCCTATGTTGATGAAGAAGAACTGAAGGGAAAAAGGTATTTATAATATTGTAAGTACTGCCTTTCACGACTACATTCTTATATTTTTTTAAACACTAGACATAATTTACCCGCGGCCCGTGGGTCTTAATTTGCGTATCACTTTCGATGTAGTCACTGAGAATGCTTTGTAAACAATTAAACGAAATAATAATTTTATAAGTAAAGCGAATGCGTGAATGTAAAAATAGCATGAATGGAGCTATCAAAATAGCTTATCGACTTAAATTCATTTTTGAAATAAAAACATTTGCTTGTAGTCCTACATATATTTGATTAAATTTTAAATGAATAGACTTAATTCTGTATGTTCATGTGTTAAAGTATTAAGTAGATCTTGAGTTCATTCTGCGCGAGCGTGAACGCTTCGCACTGCGCATGCGTGTTCTTTTTTATAAGATTACGCGATTCATGAATGAAACTATTAGATTATAGGCCTATCTCAACACGGCTTCGCAGCTTTAACGAACGAATGTATGAAAAATGCTTTAGAAAAACAAATTTGAATGTTAATTTGATTAAAATATGAAATAAATGGACTATAATTAGTATGTTCATGTGTTAAAGTATAAAACTATCTTTGCGAAGAGAAGTTCTATCATCTTAGAGTTAAATTAGAGTTTTAGACCTAGGAATAGAGAGATGTGTAACCATACCTGGTCTTGTCTAATTAAAGAATAGTACATCAGGAATTCTAAATTCGTAGATATAAGGAACGAATTTATGTAAAAATGCTTTTGACAGGCAAATTTGAAGCTTAATTTGATTAAATAATGAAATCAATAGACTATATTTTGTAATTTTCATGTGTCAAAGTAAAAAACTATCTGTGCAAAGTGTAGTTCTTAAAAATTAGATCTAGATCCTTTCGATCTTCTCCCATGTAACCATGATAAACATGGCCTAGATTTATAAGATACTATACTTTCATAGAGTCAGTCAACTTGTTTTTTGAGGGTCTTTAATTTGTTTTAGGGCTACATACATACACTACAGTCTAAGTTAGTACTCAAGGAACATTTCTGCCAAGTTTTATCAAGATTGGTCAAACGGTTTTAATTTCTATTCGGCACTTACATACAACATACATACATACGCCGTACTTTCTACTTTATAATATGGGTGCTCACATGTATTTTTATATTCTATGAAGTCCTGTACTCACACCCTAGACTCATATACCAAACAGTAATACATGTTTTTCTGGATTTTCTCTTTTTCCGACTAATGTATACAGCATATCAAAGTATACGCAAACTAAACAGAAACCAAAAAAAAATAAATAAAGCCAACTTAAAGTGTTCTACAATTTTATTATCAAAATAAAATCAACAACAAATCTAAAAACAACATTTGGTGGATTAGATTGAATGTTATTGTTAACAAATAAACAACAAGATACAATGATTTAGGAAATTTTATTTTCACAGTTATCTTTAAAACAAGTCACATAAAACTTTATTTAAAAAAAAAAAAAGAAGATAATGCCTCTTTTATGAAGCTGATGACTTTTGGAAAGATCGATTACTTTGTTCTAAATACCTACTGAACGATAGAGTCATAAAAGGCACATTGGTCACATCTTTCTTCCCCTATGAAGTGCAGCGCATGTGTGTATTTAGATTACAATCAAATCAAATAGAGCTAAATTATTAAATTTTGTTGATTTTAAAGAGCTAAAAAGGTTTATGAATATACGTCATACATTACAATGGTGCTTAGAATGGTTTATCTAACGAGTTATTTTAATAAGAAGTAACTACTGAACAATTTACAACGTTGTAATGGCACACAAACTCATTTACAATATAGATGCTTTAGCATTAAGTCCCAATGAGTCTTGATCAATTGGGCTCAGTCTTAGTTATATAATACGAGCATATAATTATAAGCATTAAGCATCACACCATACAAGTGAACCATGCACTGTATGCTGGATTAAAGTATAAAGCGATCATATATGTACAGAAATATATAATTTTTTCTATTAATAATCATATTGGTGCTGTTAAATATATGTGTGTATATTAGTTACAAATAACAACAAGCGAGTTAAAATTAAGTCACGATTTTTATAACGTTTAGGAAACTGAAGGACACAGAGTTTAAGGAATTTCAAGGTTGCGTTGAAAAATGTCAAGGTTGTTGTGTTAAGGAAATGCATAGGTTCTTGTGTTGAGGAAATGTCAGATTGCAGAGCTTAGGTCATGTCAAGGTTACAGTTTTCAAGGAAAGCCAATTTTGCAATGGAAATGTTAATGTTGCGGTGTTGAAAGAACGGACAAAGTTTCAGTGTTACATAAATGTCAAGGTTGTAGTTTATAGGAAAGTCAAGGTTGCAATGTTGAAGGAATGTCAAAGTTACAGACTCGAGGAAATGACAAGGCTGTTGTGTTGAAAGAATTTCAAGGTTGTTGTGTTGAAGTAATGTCAAGGTTGTTGTGTTGAAAGAATGTCAAGGTTGTTGTGTTGAAGTAATGTCAAGGTTGTTGCGTTGAAGGAATGTCAGGGTTGTTGTATTGAAAGAATGTCAAGGTTGTCGTGTTGAAAGAATGTCAAGGTTGTCGTATTGAAAGAATGTCAAGGTTGTCGTGTTGAAAGAATGTCAAGGTTGTCCTGTAGAAAGAATGTCAAGGTTGTCGTGTTGAAAGAATGTCAAGGTTGTCATGTTGAAAGAATGTCAAGGTTATTGTGTTAAAGGGATGTCAAGGTTGTATTGAAAGAATGCCAAGGTTGTTGTGTTGAAGGAATGTCAAGGTTGTTGTGTGAAATAAATGTCAAGTTTGTGTTAAGGAAATGTAAAAGTTCAAGGATGAAGAAATGTTTTTGTATAGAGATGTCTAAATGTTTTATTAATAAAATCATTTCAAGAAAGGAAGATGAAAAAGAGATTGCAATTTAAAACATTATATTATGACATAAAGTTAGAGTAAGGCAAAGAATTACATTCACGTCTTTCAGGCAAGTTTTTGCTTCAATTTTCACATAGCTATTAGATACCAAAAGAAAGCATTTAGGAAGCTTCCAGTTAGTTTCTATGCACACTACTATAGATGTCTTTCTGTCTACGGTGAGCATTGATCTGAGTATATTTGGCTGGTCAGAACGTCATTCTAGGAGAGGCGTACTTTGGAAATAAATAGTTGCTATTAGAAAGTTATTTCAAGATACTGATAGCTACTACTCCAAAATAAGAATTATCCGTTTTTACACTATAATTAAAGTGATAACATTGCTCTTGAGACTGAACGCTGACTTCATCTCCATCGTCCAGGGTAAAGACTCCCATCTGAAGCTTGGAATCAACGGGAGTAACCCCTCTGTTAAAATAGACAGAATCTAGTTTATCGCCCCTGAAACATAGAAAAAAAATGTGCAAGAAACGAACAGCGAGCAACGAGATTCAAGTATCTGTCTGTCTGTCTGTTTATCCATCTATCTATCTATCTACCCATCTATCTATCTATCTATCTATCTATCTATCTATCTATCTGTCTGTCTGTCTATCTATCTAACTATGTGTCTGTCTATCTATCTATCTGTCTGTCTATCTATCTAACTATGTGTCTGTCTATCTATCTATCTATCAGGATTGAATGTGGTTGAGAATTTATGCCCGTCCCCAAAAAGTGTAGTGTATTTACTAGCTCCCTTTAGAAAATAAATAAAACAAAGTTATTGCTATACTACCCTATAAAACTATAACATCGAACGAACGCTTAGCTTTATTTAACACAGCCTATGGGGCAAAACTGTTCAATTAGATGAAGCGAAACAGAAGAAAAACAAACATCCACCGAAGCGGGGAAAATACTAAATAAGGATACAGCTAGTGACGTTGTGACTGTTCAGAAAATGCAGTTAAAGTCATTTATAGTCGATGCTTTATTGTCAACGATTCCTGATTAATTACAGTCCAACTCTGACACTATCTATTCTATAAAAGTATTTCTATTTCTATTTGTCTGCACTTCTATTTTCTTTTTCTCTACCCTTTACCCTCTACCCTGTCTTTAATACTTGTCAAATCTTTTTAAAAAATTAAAAAGTTTTGAACGTGTCACCAATGTGTTAATGACAGATGGAAAACTTACAAATTGAATTGGGTCAGCCAACTTCTCAATAAGACATCAACAGTGCCAGATTTCCTTGTAACAATGGTTTCATGTGAACACTCATGGCGGTATCTAATGATGAAATGAATGATTTAATCATAAAAAAATTAAGCCTTACCATCTAAAACTCAACAAATATGCTAAGGATGGCAAAGTAATGATAAAATTGTAGTCGTGACAAACCAGACTTGATAAACGGATAATGATAAACTAGACAGACATTGATTAAATATGACAAGATAAATAACACATAATAAACCTAACACTAGACCTAACCCTAAATCTACCACTAAATGTAACGTTTTGATCATACTAAATTTCATCAAAATAATATATAGTTCAGTGATACTTGCTCTTAATTTTTTTTTTTAATTTCTGGGACGGAGAGTTAGCTCCTCAGTCTTGTGTAGTTCAGATCAAGCAAAAGTCAATTAGTCTTCAGTCTTGTGTATTTCAACTTAAGCAAAGTCTAGAAATCTTCAGTCTTGTGTAGTTCAACTCAGGCAAAGTCTAGAAGTCTTCAGTCTTGTTTAGTTCAACTCAAGCAAAGTCTAGAAGTCTTCAGTCTTGTGTATTTCAGCTTAGGCAAAGTCAAGTAGTCTTCAGTCTTGTGTAGTTCAACTCAATAGAGGTCTAGTAGTCTTCAGTCTTGTGTAGTTCAACTTAGGTAAAGTCTAGTAGTCTTCAGTCTTGTGTAGTTCAACTCAGGCAAAGTCTGGTAGTCTTCAGTCTTGTGTAGTTCAACTCAAGCAAAGTCTAGTAGTCTTCAGTCTTGTGTAGTTCAACTCAGGAAAAGTCTAGTAGTCTTCAGTCTTGTGTAGTTCAACTCAAGCAAAGTCTAGTAGTCTTTAGTCTTGTGTAGTTCAACTCAAGCAAAGTCTAGTAGTCATCAGTTTTGTGTAGTTCAACTCAATCAAAGTCTAGAAGTCTTCAGTCTGTGTAGTTCAACTCAAACTAAGTCTAGTCATAATAAACTTGTATAAGTTTTAAAAGTTCCACAGATTCTTACGTCCTAGCCCAAACCCGCACAAAAAGTCACAAATTGACATTGAGTAGGATTCGAACTAAAGACCATCGTAAAGACAGTCTAAAGGGCATAACACTCATGTAGAATCGATCGTCTGCAAGAGTTTAATGAAGAACACGGCATTTGACGTTCGGGGGCCTGCCTAATGCCCTAGTGAAACAGTGTAACTAAATAAATGAAAAACTGTTCCTCACCCTTGTTGGTGAGTACCCTGACCGTGTACTGCTACCTGTGAGTACAACAAATATGTTCCTTTTTTTAGTATACGGATCTTTTGCACAGCGCCTTCCGTTGAATCAAAGACTGTTTCCAGACTAGTTGTCATATTCTTCTTGTCCATGGCCCATAGAAACGTTCTGCCTATGTATCAGTAAAACAACAATATTATTACCACTAGAAATATTTACAAACACAGACATATCTAGATGCAGGAATACTACATATCTAGATACACTGGAATACATAACTAGATGCACTGGAAAACATATCTAGATGCATTGGAATACATATCTATTATGCACTGGAAAACATATCTAGACGCAATGGAATACATATCTAGATACACTGGAGTACATATCTTGATGTTGGAATACACGAATATATATATATATGAGTGTGAAGATGGGTTTACCTATTCCGCCGACATATTCATATCTAATATAAAATACTTTGAAAACGGGTTTACCCCGTTCATTTAAAAGTTTCATTGTTTAATAGAGATACAATTAGGTACTTTTTGTCTATTTCTAGGGTCTTTCTGTTGTGTGAGGGATATGAAACATGCACTACGTCTTAGGCACTCCGCCATGATCTAAGGAACAAGTATGCTAATTTTATCAAGATTGGTCAATTGATTTTTATTCGGGACATACATACACATATACACCTTACTCTCAGCTTTATATATTAGACTAGCCTGACATTACCCGCGGCCTGTGGGTCTTAGTTTGTGTTTACTAATCTAGTGGATTGGATTTAGATGTATGTTAAACTTAGCTAATGATCCTTTCAAGTTTTTCTCTTTCGCTACGAAAATAAAATTAATTTTCATATCTATCAAAAAGGAAAGAAGCGATAGATGAATAGGATATAAAGTACAATTTAAATGGGTTTACCCGATTTGTTAAATAAATGGTATAATAAGTAAGTCAGGACGTTCTGAATTCGCAGAAATAAGGAAAGAATTTATGTAAAAATGCTTTTGAAAGACAAATTTGAAGCTTCATTTTATTAAATAATGAAATCAATAGACTATATTTTGTATTTTTATGTGTCAAAGTAAAAAAAACTATAGTAAAAAACTAAAGTGTAGTTATTAAAATTAGATCTAGATCTAAATCCTTTCGATCTTTTTCTCATGTCAACATTGTAAACAAAGCCTAGATATATATTATTATAATAATTTAGCTTTAATAGAGTAGGTCAACTTTTTTTTTGAGGGCCTTAAGCTTGTTATAGGGCTACAATACATACACTACGGTCTAAGTTAGTACCCAAGAAACATTTCTGCCAAGTTTTATCAAGATCGGTCAAACGGTTTTGATTTCTATACGGGGACATACATACAAATATACATACATACCTACATACACACGCCTTACTTTCTACTTTATATATTAAATATATATTATATTGAATCTATAGAAAATAAAATAAAGATCATTTTAGTAGAATTAAAGTCTTTAAAGATAAAACACTATGCTACAGAAAGAAAATCGCTCATCGAAACTATAATTTACCTTCGTGATAGAATGGGACGCTGCCATTTCGACCTGTCAGGTGGAAGTAATTTGGATGAATCCTTTGTTTCTATTTTTAGAAACAGTTCAATGTTAGTAAAACAGAATTAGAGGTAAAGATATAGAATGATACATAGGAAATGAGACAAACTTGCTTTGATAGATAGATAGATAGATAGATAGATAGATAGATAGATAGATAGATAGATAGATAGATAGATAGAAAGATAGATAGATAGATAGACCAGACAGACAGAAAGACAGACAGATAGATAGATAGATAGATAGATAGATAGATAGATAGATAGATAGATAAACATATAGATAGATAGACCGACAGAGACAGATAGACAGACAGGTAGATAGATAGATAAAAAGATAGATATATAGATATATAGATAGATAGATAGACAGACCAGACAGACAGGTAGATAGATAGATAAAAAGATAGATAGATAGATATATAGATAGACAGACAGACATATAGATAGATAGATTTATGGATAGATAGATAGATAGATGGATAGATAGATTTATGGATGGATAGA